CCAAACCTTGAAGAACATATGTCAGTTTGGAAATAGTAAGGATAGGCCATATAAAGGATTTACTGTATTCTGTGAATTGTGACCCAGTGTAGAGGGTTGGAGAAAAAGAGACCTGTGAGAAAAATGCTACTGGCAGATGGTCTATTGGCTCAGAAAATAAAAAGGTACTATAACTTATCGCTGCAAGACATACAAACACATATTTTTCCATTTCTATGTCTCACTAATTAAAATGGGATTGCAAGTGAAATGCAACAAGATATTATGGAACAGTTACATTTACCATCTCTTCTTTGTTTGAAAGACACAAATGGTCATATGTATTATAGTTGGTATCAAACCCAGGATAAAGCATAGTTTAACTGTGATACCCAAAGACAGAAATACACAGATTAAAAACAAAACAAAACAAGAAAACCACACAATTTTGTGAGAAGCTTCATTTTTCCACATACCATTTGACCAGGCAGGGTATGCCTGGCATGTATCACACTAAATTCTCCTATAGTAAATCTAGTGAGGACTTGTCCATAGTACTAATAATCACATAAAGTATTTACTTTGTTATATTTTCATGCTTCTCTCTTGCAGTGTTTCAAATTTTTGGCATTAAAATTGAAGACTAGATATCATATACATTTTGATTATAGACATTAATATGCAACACCTGCCAAAGAGAGACAGCGATGAAGGGGAATGGACTGTCGTCCATTTAACAATATAGATTGTTAAAATATCTGTCATTTTAACACAATTTGGATTGATGTAGTCAGGTGATAAAGGGACCCAGGCATTGATTTGCTTTAAATTAATGGCAAATAGAATTTATCCTCAAAATAATAAAACTATAAAGCTTGTCAAGTCCTAATTATCTTAATTTTATAAGGAGAAGCTCCATACTTTTCAGGTTTAGTAAATGTATGGGTTCTATATTTTCCAAGCTTTTACCTTTGTTATCAAAGACAGAAAACTATTGCTCATGAATAATAAAAAACGACATTAATTCCAAGAACATACATTTGGATAGTTGATGTGATAATAATGATATTTTAAGTAAGATTAATACTCTGGGGAATATTTTACCTCAAAATTTTATTTATTCTGCAATAGGAAAGCAATATTCTGGTTTATGAAGATGTCAAACCACACATCGTAAAGGAAAAGTTTCAAAAAGTAAACAAAATGGGAAAGCGATGGCTCAGTGGTTAAGCTCACTGGCTGTTTTTCTAGAGGATCCAGGTTCAATTCCCAGCACACACGTTGTGGTTTATAGCTATAAATAATTCCAATTCTAGAGCATCAGATGCCATCTTATTTCTTCCTTGGGCACTACACACACTTGATGCACAGACATACATGCAAGCAAAACATGGCCCCTCCTACTCAAACACACTTTGAAAAGTGCAAAGAGGAAATATCTTACTTACATTAAAAGCAGTAAGTTTCCTAAGAGCTGATAGGGGAAGGCAACAACCACGCTTTCTATATTTTCCATATTTAATGAAAAGTTAATAGTCCTATGGATTTTTCATTAAACTTATTTCCATGGGTTTTTCAGATCATGATTTATAATTACTAAGCAAGCAAAGACAAAATCTAAGAATGCAAGATCTTCATGGTATTTAGAAACTCAGATCAATGCATATTTCTGTGGGTAGATTTTCAGCCAAGCTAAATCTGTAATAGGTGCTGGTAATACTCTTTCATCAACATATCAAGTCAACCTCTTGTTCTTGTCAGCAATACTAGCCATTTCAAATGAAATATATTAACTAACTATATTCAAAAGAATGTGCCCTTTGTAAACCGTTTTACCTAATCTTCCTTCCAACTGTGGCCATTCTTTCCCTATTTCTGTGGGAAGGGTGGGGGACAAAAGCAACCCAAAGGCAAGTATTCAATTATTGGCTTTGTTGTAATTAACTACAAGTATTTGTGAATTCCTTCTAGAGTCAAAGTTCTACACTAAGTTTTATTTTCGGTGATGAGCTGGGCTTTCCTAGGGTCCAGCAATTTCTTTTCTGTTTTTCTGCAGAAGATTCTCCTTTTAGTGCCAAGATGTAATGAGATATAGGGGAGAAATGCAGTGGATATCTGAAACCCACAGGATTCAGAATAGTTTGGAAGGTCAAGGAAGACCTAAAAGCAGTCTGAAAGCCGAAGAAATAATGTCCCAGTCAAGAACACGCAGTGCACCTGGGAACCAGCAAGTGGCTACTGTGGCTTAAGTGATGGTGTATGGAGTGCCTGAATGGGAGCAGAGGGAAAGGAACATATAACATATTCCATAGTGTACTAGACACCAAGATAAGGGTTCTCATTCAAAGTCTGTGGATGTTCTGCTGACATCTCAAGAGCCATTCTGGATACCTGATAAGAAAACAGTGTGCAACTTGATACAAATTAGACCAAGATGCAAAGTAGGAGACAAGGGAAGAGGTCACAGAAATAAGCAGGCTGGGATGATTAGAGGTCATCTTAGAATAACAGTGCAACTCCTGATGAAAGGGTGACTGCAAGAGGATTTGTAAGGCAGATCCCACAGGAAGGCAAGATGAAGGAAATCGAGGTGATATCGTAATTACTGACTAGGAACTGGTAATTTTAGAATAAAGAGCAGGAAATGCATGGCCACTTATATTTCAGGGTAAAATTAGTTTGTACTTTATTAAGCCTGAGATGCCATATAGCACACCATCAAACATGCCCAAGGAGACCTTAGAGAGGGCAAGGTGAAGTTTATGCAAAGTGCTGAATATAGTCATCAACCCGAGTTTACCAAAGGAAAGAAAACAATGGGTATGCGCAAATGACTTTATATTAGGTTACTAAAAGTAGAATAAACGAGGTTCAACTTTTCCTAAAATACTCTAGAAACCAAAATTAATTTCTATTATACCTGGCGGAGTTGCTAATCTGGCATTTTAATTGGTTTACATTTGGACTAGGATTGTGATAGCCTGAGATATAAAAGGAGAATGCCAGAGAGGATAGATGGTATTACAGGTAGCTGAAAGATTCCAGTAAAGGCAGTAAACCAGAGAAATACACCTATCTTCATGAGGGAAGCATTCTGCATACCTGGAGTGAAGAAAGGCAGAGGCAATAAAGGATCATGTTTTAGGCTACACCAAACGACCCAGGAAAATCGCTTTATAGAAGTCAAATCTACTAATTTCATGACCAAACAACTGGTTAAATTAATCATTGAATGGCTGAAGTCTATAAGGAGTAGATCAATAAAAGTGTGTTTCCTGCATTGTTTGTAGGTGCACACCTTTCATCCTAGTACTTGAGTCAGTCACACAGAAACCCGAATTCAAGGCTAGCCTGTGTACACAGCGACTTCCAGGTTAAGCAGGGCTTCATAGTTAGACCATGTCTCAAAACAAAAAGACAGATGAAAGACATAAGAAAGAAAGAAAGATAGAAAGAAGGAAAGAAAGAAAGAGAGAGGGAGGGAGGGAGGAAAGAAACGAAATCAAAATATGTTTCTAATACAAACTGTCAGTCTTCATTTTTTTTTTTTTTGAGCTTTAGGACTAAACACTTCCAAGCCCTGTATTTTTGACAAATTAGAGACTTTAATGTTGTGATCTGCATGACAATTTTTCTATAAGCATATGTGTCATGCTTTTCTTTTATGAATATATTTATTGTATTTTATGTCAAGGCCTTGAAATGTTACCCTTTTAGGTCAGTTATCACAGGGATTTTCAGAAGTGTAGGGGTGAAGATACAAGCAGTTTACTTAATTTCTTAAAAGACTAGATTATATTTGTAAGACAAGTACTATCTTCAAAATGTCGAATTATTTTGCTTTTCTATCCCTCATCTCTTTCATTATTGCCATTAAAATAGCAGGTAGTGGCGGTATGCTATGGAACTCAGCATGGATCATTCCTACACACATAAGCCTTCCTTTGTTTATAATATCATCTTAGAAATATTTCATGTGGGTACTGACCAGAGCATTGGTGTCATTAATGTCTGAGTCCATCATTATAAAACCTTTCCCTTGACTACTTAATAGTTAGTTACAGCAAAACACAATAAGCCACCCAAACAAACAAAAAATAACACCCTTCCCCCAAAAATACCTCTGTATTTTCTAGGGGAAATGTAACCAAACTCCTGAGTGAGGAGTAGAGTGAGAAAATAATACCTAATCTGGCAATTTTGACAAAACTTTATCTTAATGAGTGTTTTTATAATAGCAGAATTACATTTTTTTCTGCAAATGTAGAAATCAATGTAGTAATACATTTTTGTCTACAGCAGAGAAGGAGTTAATCTAAATCACACACTGGCCTTGCACTAAATATGCTGTTTGCCAGGCTTTGTTTTAATTGCAAAGGCACTACTCAAATGGGTGAGTACTTAGGCTCTATTATGGAGGTACATGATGTTGCTCTAGAGTCTTCCATGACAAGGTCAAAGGTCTTCCTGATCTACTGAGTTTCTTATTTTGATTCTAAAATAATCCTTTATGTGCCTTATACTTTCAGGCAAGAGTTCTCAATGTTAAATATGTTTTCTCTGTTTTAAATAAAAAGTCCCCAAACAAATGTTACACTATGTCCTCTTTGCATGCTATACTTAATATGCTTTCATTATACCTAATGTACTTTTAATAGTCTCCTATGGCAAGATGCTGATATTAAAAGTGGGAATAAAATAGCCATGATACCACCTTGAATTTGCAATAATGCTTTTTATCTGCGGGCTCGAAGCACTTCACACATATGCTCATTTGGTCATTCCTTGAGCTTTAATGTGAGCATTTTAATGGCTAGGATACTGCGATGCAGCATTTCTGAGGGAATTGAGGTCACTGTCTGAGTCTACATTATACACAGTAAAAATCTTTCTATGAAGCCACAAACATTCCTTCCTTTTAGTCCCATGCCTCCAAGGTAAGTACACTGGTGTCTGGGGGTGGGAGGCAAATTATGATCACCTCTATACTGGTCTTGACCTTCAAGCTCCATCTCTCTTACCTGGACACCATCAGATGCAGGGATGTAACTTGCCCTTTTAAATGTATCGGTCACATTTCTGAGGATTTCCACAGACACAAGAAGATCACCTGCATAGAAATTTTTCCTCTGGGTTAAATCCAAGAGTGTCTTGGTGACCTGGGACATCCCATCACCTGCCAGCATCCTCTGCCCCTTTGCAAGGTGCTCTTTAATCTGTCATGGTCAAAAGAAGAGAAAGCACATCAGAATCTTCATTACTATTTATCCACATAATTTCACTAAGCAACTATTTTTAAAGTTTTCAGTAAACTTTAAAATAGGGTTGTGGTAATCAAAAGGATTTCAAAACAGTAAATTCTATGCTAGGTCTCTGGGACATCCAGCCTCTGGTTACTGGCTTTCCAGGCAGTGTCAGGGGTAAGCTCACACTCGAGGCATGGGTCTCAGGGTGGACCTGTTATTCGTTGGTTTCCCAGAATATCTGTGTCATCCTTATCCCATCACATCCTATAGGCTGGACAGATGATAGGTAGAAGGTTATGTGTCTGGGTTGGTGACTTAAGACTATGTCACTGTCTTCCCTGGTCAAAGGGAGTAGCCAGTTCAGGCTATGTATCCCCTTTTTTCTAGTAGTCTTAGCTAGGGTCATCCTTGTAGATTCATGAAGTTTCTCTTTTACCAGGATTCTGTCCCAGAAATAGTCCATTTTCCAGTCTGCTCTTTCAGGACTTTCTCCCTTACCCCACCTCTAACTTATCCTGGATGTTCCCATCCCCACCTGCCCCAGTCTACCTAAAAATTCTCTTCTATTTCTCCTTCGCAGGGAGATCTGAGTATCCCCTTTGTAGCTGCTTGGCTAGCCTCCTGAGTCTGTCGATTGTAGCATGGCTAACCTTTACTTTACAACTAATAGAAACTGTGGTCAGGATGTAAAATAAATAAATTAATTAATTATGCTAAGCAATTAATTAAAAAACAGTAATTCTGTAAAACCTACAGTGTAATGGTTTAACAGTCCACCATACAAAATAAAAGCTAAAGTAAACATTGTGTATCTTTTTCAGAATTGACAGTCTTCCTGTTTTAAATTAGAATGTTCAATAAATGCATTGAGGGGAAAGCATTTTTAGTGTAGAAATTTTTTTTAAAAAAATGGCTTTTACATGTAACAAGTCTGGGAAGTTATTTAGGAGGATGAGATCAGAAATGAGAGACTATAAACCAAGTGGTGGTGGTATAGGATTTTATTTCCAGAAATCATGAGGCAGAAGGGTTAGATCACTGTGAGTTGGAGGCCAGACTGGTCTACAAAGCAACTTCCAGAACAGCCAGGACTACACAGAGAACCATGTCTTGAAAAACAGGGAGGGAGGGAGGGAGGGAGGGAGGGAGAGATTATAAATACATTATAATATTTGCTCTCAACATCAATTTTGGTAGTTTCTGCCTTATTATTTTAGGAGGGTCTAGAGGTGTATCTCACTGGCAGAGTGTTTCTCTGGAATGTAAGGTTCTAGATTTGATTGCACACACACACCTCACATCTCCAAATCAAATGGAAATAAAGAAAAACACATGCCTGTAATCCTAGCAAGTGGGAGGTTGAGGCAGGATTGTAAACAAAGGCTAACCTGCCTTACATTGTGAGTTACAGGCAAGCCCAGGTTGTGCAATGACCACACTCAAGCTCAAGAACGTAGACTTTTTGCAGGACAATCTTAACATCTCCGTTTAATCTCTAAATATTTGAGGCTTATAACAACACAATAGAAAGTTAAACAACTTCTTTTTATATAAAGAAAGCAATGACAAAATAAAAATAAGAAAAGACAAAACAAAATTCTTTCAACAAGGTTTTTCTGAGATATAAAATGTCAATTAGTCCAATGACCAGAGAATCAACTGTCAGTTTTCATGTGTGGCTGATCTCACAGTATGAGAAGACAGAAGCTCTAAGAATGGCAAGGTATGAAAGGGAGAGAGAATAAACATCCAAGAAAGTCTATTCTTTACCATCACCATGCCTAACCTGTAATTAAATTGGTTTTAAAATGACAAAACAATCAAGAAATTATATACCAGAGAAATATTCAAGAAGAAATATTAAATTGTAACAGTCATTGCCACCTTTTAGTTAAGAAATATGTCATTAAATCTTTTAAGTATGGCTATCAAAGTGCACTGATATTTCCTAAAGACATTTTTCTACAGTTATATTACAAAAAGTGTTATTTTCTACTAAATTCTGCACTGCTGAAAATTGAAATTTAATTAATTTCACTTGGTGTGTGTGTGTGGGGGGGTGTAGCACCCTTGCTGTATACATGTAGGCCTGAAGAAAACTTGTGTTAGTTATCTTCTTCCACCATGTAGGACCCAGAGACCAAACTCTAGTCATTGGTTGGTAAGATACACCTTTACCCTCTGAGCCATCTTGCCAGTCCTAACACCTGGACTATAGTCTTGGCATCAATGTTCCTGTCCTTGTCTAGTTATAGTCTCAGTGTCCCTTGGCATGAAACTAACACATTCAGTCATAGCACACACACACACACACACACACACAAACACCTACACAAACACACACACAAACACACACACACACACACACATACACACACACACACACACACACACAGGGTGGTAGAGGAAGAGAGGGAAGGGAAAGGAGAGGGGGAGAGTATATTTTTTTCAGCCATTATATAAACACTGTTCCTCAGACTAAGGGCTCAATGGTGTACCACAATGACACACTGGTGTACCACTGATGTACCACAATGATACACTGACAGACTGCCCCTAAAATACTGAGAAAATTTTTAAATTTTCTATTTTGGTCACATGTTGCATGACTTCCTGTTAATGTGCTATGATATCCTTCCTTTATCTCCTACATGGCACTCAGATTTATTCCTTATGATTCCAAATAGACAACGTTAACAGATTCCTTTCCTGTGCTTTCTCTCATCCTGCGCATTTACCATTTTTACCACATTGACTATTTATCATTCCCGTCCTCCTTCTGTCCCAATAAGCTTACCATACAGTACAGTGAAGATGCCTCAGAGCAGATTTAATTGTTTTGCACTAATTATGCCTCTTCAGTGTCATGCAGTAAAACCAGCTTCAAAGCTCTGAAGTATATATACGTCTTGTCATAGGTAGGAGGATTGGATTCCTACCTTTACTATAATATTTGAAAAAATACATTGATGCAGTAATGTGTTTTAAAAATCATTTTGTTAATTCAAGTTAATACAACTGAGAGAAACCTGAGATAATCAGCAGCAGAAACTCTACAAGGAAGACCCTTTCCATCCCATGGTAGAACTCAAGAGTTGCAGCATCTTCATCCTTATTTTCTGTGGTCTAGTCACTTATCCTTTCCTTTTCCTCAAGGATAGTCGAATACATCCAATGCTCTTGGACATTTCCATTTGGTTTTCCTTCTGTCTGAACAAAGTATGCTGTTTTTTGGTCACCTTCTAAGAAAGCTCTTTCAAAAATGGTTTCCTTGGCCTTGCCCCATCTGAGGAATGGATGGGGGTGGGATGAGGGAGAAGTGAGGTTGGTATTTAAAATAAATAAAATTGGTTTCCTTATCCTTCTCAATCAACATGTTCAACGTCACCTGCCGAATCTTGTCTGTTTGGTTTACTGTTATAATTTTGTCACTGACCTGACTTTCAATATGGAATGAGTGAATTAAATGGCTGAATGGGTGAGTCATCATCAAGGCTCCTGCCACTGTCATATCACAGGAGTAAATATGAAAGTCGTCCTATCTTACATCTTGACATTGTCAACAGCAAACACTTGAATCAATAGCATGAGACAAACCAACAACAGTCCACCAAAAACTCTTGACTTACAGAGATCCTACAGTATCTAGGCTGAAAAATGTGTAGCTCCGAAGAGGAGATTTAGAGCATCCCGGAGGGGCATGACGTGAATGGAATCTAGCCTGCAAATGTCACAAGTTCAGTCTTCAGTTTTGAAGTCACCTGTACAACTCAGAGGGGCAAAGGACTTAGATTTACTTTTCTTCACCTGGTGCAGAAACAACAATAGCTACCACTCTGAATGAGGTCTGACTGCTTTCCTCTAGTATTTTACAATCTATGCCTGTGTCTAGGAGAATATTTATGTCACAGGTCTTATGGCTGTTTCCCCTCACAGAATTTACTTGAAACTTTAAGAAGAAAACATCCAGGCATGATTTCTGTTTGCAATAGAAACAGTTATAGGAGGCAATGAGTAGATTGTCCAATCAGAGGTAGGAAAGCCAGTCTTTCTCATCTGCATCAGTAACACATCTAGCCCGAGTTAGTATTAAATTAGCATCAATGCCATCTGACAGCTGCTTAGCAGGCTTATATCGAATGAGTTGTGCTCAGTCCAGTTCTTAGCAAATAGTTGCACAGCTCATTCCAGCTCTCACAGTTGGCAGTAATTAGCTGCCCTCTGGACATCATTACTAAAGTAAGCAGGACAAATACCTTGCCATACTTTCACATGCTGGTGTAGACTATGCATAGCATTGATGCAAAGAATAAAGAGTATTTAGGGAAGACACATTCTTTCCAGAACACATTGAGTTGAAAGATGCATTCCAGTTTATTGACACTGAGTACACTGTGTGATCATTCTTAGAAATCTTGCTAAAATTTTCCGAGTAGATGTAGTGCTAAAACCCATCTTTTAACTGAGATTCTATCACTTATTACTCAAGAGTTTTGGAGAAATTTCTGTTTTCTATATCATTTGTCGGTAAAAAGGAGGGCAGGTACTGTTGTTGGGGGATTGCTGAATAGCTTGTAAATCTCCAGGATTCAATTTCCAATTCCTCTTTTCTCTATGATAGACAATGTATACTAATCTAGAACTTTATGTCTTTAACATCCAGTTCAGTAATTATTTCTTCATCTGGGTTTAATTGGCCATTTTTTCTAATTATTGACTGCAGTAACAATATTTACCATTTTTTATACTTGAATATGAAATTCCCCTTACTCACCCTAGCTCAGGTATAAGATGGTTCCTAGCTCATGGTGATATTCTGAGAGGTATTAGCAGATTTGGGAGGTAGGTCTCAATGGAATGTGGTTTTAGAAATGTCAGTGGGAATGTGTTTGGGGAATTGGTTGTCACTGGATCATTCCTGTTTGTATGTCTTGACTTTTCTATCTACTCCAGTGTGAGCAGATTTGCTG